TTGAATAACAATTAATTATTACAATCATGCATTTTACGATTAAATTAAATAAAACTTTAAATGAAAATTTAATTTTATAAAACTTCTTTAATTTAATAAGATAATATCCCGGGAAAAAAGTTTATCTAATTATATATAATTATATATAATTTTGTAGATCTAATTATATATGGATTTCGACCTGATCCAATTATAAATAAATCTAATTATAAGTAGATAAAATTGTTTATAATTATATATGAACAGATCAAATTATGCATATTTATGACGACAAAATTACGATTGCGTTCCGATATTTACTTTTTATATTTTCTTTTTATTTTTTATTTACGTTATATTTATTTTTTTTAATAATATCCTTTATAAAAAAAGAGATGTTAAGTCGATTTCTTGCATTTCTCGAAGTTTATTGTTGCCGCTTTTCAGCGATGCTGATTGGTTCTTTTGCTCTGCTAATTTCGTGAGTTATGTCAATTTACAAATGACAATTTATAAAAGGCGGGCGAGGTTAGTAGCGAATGAAACTTTGAATCGGTTTTAAAGGACAAAGATAAGATGAACAAGGACGAATGAGTTTCTATTTTTCATCACGACGGTTCAGTACATCGCTACTATCACCGAATAATATAAAAATACATAATATGAAAAGCTTAGTGGCGCGCGCGTAGCGCGCGCCCGTTATGTTCTAGTACCTAAAAAAAAATGTGCAGGTCATACACAAATCTGAAAATAATTTTATTGAGTTATCAAAATAATTATATGCGACGTTTTAAATTGATCGCTATCAACATTTCTTCAATATTATTTTATTATCATTACATGTACTAAGTCCGTGTGGAAACGAAAAGTTGAGAAATAGCGATTCTCGCGCGAGTTCGCTTCAAAGAATTACGTAATCGCGGAATTTTCTTTTTCAATGAAAATTTGGCGAAATTCGTCACTAATTATACGCTTCATGTCGGATCCGAGGAGACTTAAGCAATTCAAAGCCTGGCAAATTTTATCTTGACGAATTATCGATATCGATTCATGTGTCCGACCGATAGACACCGATCGCGAGTGTCTTTCTCCGCTTTGTCAGCCGACTCCATCGTCGTCACAGATATTCGTAAGAAATAATAATACGACATGGCAGTCGATTTGTACACGTCGTTATGAAAATGTCTCCATATAGTGAACGACGACGACGAAGACGGCGACATGCGAAGCACTTACGAATCTCACATTTCTACTCTTGATCGTACACATATACACGCGCGTGTACGTTGCGTGAACGGACGTGCTGGCGCAGAATTACGCACGTGCACATCAACGTTACACGCATTAGCTGATGGTATACATCTTCGCTGTCAGTTAATCGTTAAGGGAAACAATCAGAATCGCTCGGATATATCGGTCAGGTTGATTTTTTTTCCGCGTCTTTTTCCCTCTTTTCTTCTTTTTCATTGTCTCTCTTTTACCTTTTTTCTTCTGTTTACAGATGTACTGAGATGATCGATATCTATCGTCAGTATCGATATCTTGATTATATCTTGAATAATACTAATAGTATTATTTAATAATAATACAAATGATGAAATGACAGTCTTCATATGAGGAAATGTTTCGTAGAATAATAAATACAAAAAGAAAGGTGAAAGGTTAAAGTGAGGAATTTAAAAATCTAACTAGATATAAGTCTGAAAATAATTTTATTAGATCATCAAAATTGCATAGAATGTTTAAGTATGATGACATGATACTGAAATATTTTTAATATTTTTAATATTTAATATTTCTAATAACCAATTTGAATGTTCCACATAATTATTTTGATTACTGAACGAAATTATTTTCAAATTTCTGTATTTGGTCAAATTTTTTAATATTTTAGCAAAATTCTTCTCTTTATGTAATAGCATAAGAAATTCGTATCGTATCACCTATAATTTTTTCGTTAATTTTTCATTACCTTCTTTTCTTAAAAGAAATATATAAAATTAATTATAATAATTATTAATTCGCGATGCAAAATGAATTAAGAGAAAGGATAAAAAAAATTTAAGGTCTGCAATCAATTTTCAAGCTCAGAATCTCAGAAGATCGGCAAAACTTTCAGTTACATTCAATACGTCTCAATGATTTTGAGATTTGAGGATTTCATAATGATTTTCTGATACAATTCGACTCCACGTATATGTAGGAACTTATACATTCCCCAAGTGATCTCCCGCACAAATGTTCTCTCCTTTATTACGTGACAATATTGCGAACTCTTCCTGCGGGCAATAATACACCTTAAGATCCGTGCCAGATGTCACCAGCTTGAATAGCAGGTCATATACGGGACCGAAATCTCAAATATTAGCGCGAAATCATAGATGGAAGGGAACGCACATCCTATGCGGCAATATCGCGTCGCAGGCCGACATTGGTCTCTTCAAGCTCTTGCTCTTTCATCTTGTGGATATTCGGTGATGACACGTGTGCGAAACGGCTTATAAAATTTCTCGCGAACACATCGTGGAACAAAGGATCGATACATCCATATATATTTTTTCACATCCGCTTTGAAACAGCAATTTGATGCAATATATCTATGATACATTCATTGTTTCTAATCTAAATTATAACAGATATTTGTGTAAAATAATTTAAGAATATGTCATCATTATAAACACAATAATATCTATAGATCTAAACAGCTTTGTTCCTCTAAACGAAAGTCCACATTTTTTTCCAGAAAATTAAAAAAATATTAAATAAATTTAGAGATGAAGAAAAATAATGGCATAAAACTCTAACTCGCGCGTGTATGTGTGTAATTATAATATTAAGATAAAAACTTAAAACAAAATATCAATATTGATATTTGTTGTTAAATTTGTTAACAAATTTATAAAATTGCAATTGGTCAATTCCAATAGAATAATCGACCGATTAAATTAATCGGAGGTAGTGAAAGTGCCCCTAAATGTATATTTCATACTATACTTCTAAATATTTTTTAAATGTTTTATATTATATATATAGAAACTTGCGACATCATCTTAAGTTACTTGTGATGCGTGACATTTTGTGTTAGCGTCATACATAAATCCACTTAAAATTATATTTACGAGAAAAACACAAATTTCTTAAATATCTGTTCATATTTAAATATTATTTCTTACATCATACCGGATTGATTGATTCAATGATCTTCGCGATCAGATTATTAAATAGAATTGTTATTATGTTTATACTGTCATTTTTATCATTTTTATTCGACATTCTCAGTTATATTATTTGAGGCACGTTGTATATAAATTATCAATACTCAAATTAAATATGTAAATTTACTAGAAAGGACGATTGAATACTAACGGATATGTATATGCGCGTACAATTT